TGCACATTTAACAATAAGTTAGTAACATAATTTATTCCTATTTAATAGTTAAAAACTAAAGCTAATGAGAATTAGCAGCAATAATCAGAAAATCTTAAGCAAACAAAGTTTACAATAACTACAAATTTAATCATCAGACTTAATTAAATAAACAGACATTAGTATTGATAAATACAATCTAATTATAGATTAAAAATTACAAAACGTTTTTAAAAACAATGCATGCCTATCCATAACTAAAGAAAAAAATTAGATGTAGATAAAGAATATGTAACAAATTCTAAATAAAATAAGACATTATTATAAACATGAAACAAGAGTTAAAAATATTGACGCTTAAATTTTTATACATCAAAATTAAAGATAACTTGACCATTTTGAAACTTTTTTTATAGCATTTAATGCACTTAACTCGTAAAACCTACTGATACCCCGTATAAAGAAAACTACATAAATTAGGAATAAGTCTCTTAAAAGCGCTAAATAATTTTATTTATGTCAATAAACAACTAAAAATCTTGCCGTCTTAAATTAACATAGGAAATGCCATTTAAATGGATCGTTCAACAGAATGTTTGGAACGGAGATTGGAAGGACGCGTCGTTTGACGTCATGAAATACGTCATCACTGTCCCTGTCTATTCCTCCGTTCGGAGTTGCCGAAAGGGTTGCTTAATTGCCTGAACGGTTGCATGTAATTGGGTTACCATACTTTGTTATTTATCTTTACTTTTGGCTCTTATTTCATTTCATCATATGATTCTATTATATCATAGTTTCTCAACGACGTTCGTAAAGGGAGGAAAAAGAAATCACAGACGCTGTAGAATATTGATTGATTTTATTGAAACTAAAAAACTGTTCCGTCTCATCTATAAAAAAATTTCATCCGATCATCCTCTTCCTAACGTCGCCGCCATTTTTATTTACATTTGTATATGTCATCACATAAAATTGAAATGTCATAAACAGCAAACGATCTGATTGGTTCACGTAAGAAATTGCCTGAACGGTTGCAGATATTTCGTGCAACCGTGATTTCTATATCACACTAGGATTTTTCGAGCAATTTTTGGAGAAATTACACTTACAGTTGCACTTACACTTACAGTTGCACTTATTTTCTCTCGTGTNGTTAATTACTCACATTATATTTCTCATTCGTCTTGTTCAAAGATTTCAATTCTTTCACTATATATTTCGTAATTAACACGACGACCGACATGAAGCCATGTATAACATAAACAAATTAATTACGTATCGAAGTTGCCAGGTACACGTAGCAAAAATATATCACGGTTACAATAAAAGACATAAGCAAATAATAAATCTAAGTTAAGTAAGAGACGTAGGCGAGAACGAATTATATTTCAATAAGTTCGATGTGTGGTACGGTATTTATATATCTGCACGTTAATTAACATTCTAATTTATGTGGAGAAACTTAGCTTAACTTTAACCTGCCATTTTGCTTATAAACAATCAGCTGGCATTGACGTCATAGGTCATATGTGTGATATTTGTGATCTTCTTCTTGAAGTGCAAGTACCCAATTATACAGTGTTGACTTTTTTCTTTTTACTGATAGCAAAATTAAGGAAATCGACTCATAAATCAAAAAAAAAGTTATACGCATTTTGAATATGCGAATCACTATTGGCAGTTACGTCATTTTCTTAATTTGAATCAAACTTCAAAATCGGGGCCTAATCGCAATTTCAGTTCAAAAAATTGTGAAAAAAAACTGTTTTAGTCGTTAATCATCATGAAAATCTGTGGCATGTCAGCAACGGATAATGGCTTTCAATTGTGTGTCGCATGTCCTAAACAAAAAAATTTGTCACAAAATAAACAATTTGTTGCAAATAAACAAAATATACGATATGTTAAATTGAACATTGTAACATATCTTAAACAAAAGAAGTTATTTTAAAAAATAATTGATAATAAGTTGTAATGTATCAGAAAAATTTGTAATATTTAAAAAAATACATGTATAATGATAGGTTAAAAGGTATTTCATTGCTGTCCTTTTTATTATTTTTTCCGCAACTATAATTTTTACATATTTTTCGTAAATAACATTTGCCATAAATTACTTTTTAGGAATTCCACGACACAATATTGTGTCATACCATGGATCATTGGATGTTACACATCAGATAGCACTAATTTTAAGTTCATGCCTTTTAGACGTGTTAGTTGATTGAATTTTGATATTTATGCTATTAAAACTTTTTCATATGAAGTTTTCAAAGAGGTAAAATGAATTAAATTAAACATAATGCCAAGAAATATTTTATTGGATATTTCAAAATTGAGAGGTTTACAAATAATTTAATATATTGGAAGAGGCAAAGAGCAAAGGGAAAATTTAAAAAATACTTGGTTGAAAATACCTTGGGTTGCCGAATTAATAAAACTGGCTCAATACTGGTTCATACTTTTGAGCTAGAGTCATAGTAAACAATAAACAATAAGATAGTAAGGAAAAAAACTAAATAAAATCATTATTGCACTACTTTTAGAAACGTAAATAAAAGCTTTTAATAAAGGTTACTGGCAGGAATACATTTCTTTGATTTAGGCAATAAATAAAAGCAATTTTAATTCGTTTCGAAACAATTGTTTTACTGAAAATGTTGCCGACTCTACGAAAACTCGTACTTGTGTTCTTATTAAATAGGAAAAATATTAATGTCATAGAATGTCATAGAATTTACGATTACTTTATTAAAAAAAAGCATAAGTTTAAAAGTTATAAATAAAAAAGTATACCACAGAACAATTGGTGCTTTTAATAACAGATTTACTGTTTCATTATTATTTTTATCAAATTAATTTTTTCCAAATTTCATTTTTAAATCAAAAAATTTAAAATATATTTAAGCGAAATCAGAATAACATCTTCATTAATAGCAATTTATAGGGCAATTATTAAAAATTATGAATTTCTAAGAAAACCTTTAAGTAATTACTTTTAAAGCTAAAATTATGTTTTAAGCTGAATTTTTGAAAAAGAAAGAAAAGAAAAAATAATGTACGTATTCTTAATGAATCCGTAAAAGTAGCTTTATTATAATTTAGTGACGTATAAAAATTCATGAGGATATTTGTTTCTTATAACTTTTGAAATGGTAAACATTTCAATCTGAAAGAAAATAATTTTTTGAAAAATTAGTGTGGAAAAAAAAAGAAATTTTTGACAAAAAAATTATAGTAAATAATTTACTCTATTTCTATGACATTGACTTGAGAATAATAAGAAATGCTGCATTAATCTAATGAATAACAACAAAACTTTTGAATAACAACAAAAATAACTGTATTCAATAAAAAAATAATATGCAATTGCATATAACTTTTTTAAAAATTGAAACAATAAGTTAATTAGCACTTTAGGAGATTTAAGAAATGCCTTCTTATTAACGTCTTAATTTTGAAAATAAAAAAATATTTTCAGGATATTGTTAACTATTAAATGCTATTTGTGAAAAAAATATAGTTCCGTTTAGTTCCTTTTCTGTTTTTTTTTTCTTTTTTGAAGTTAGAAAGCTACTTATTAAGTACTTTTTTTGATTTTCTGAGAAAGCACTTAGATACCTCCTGTATCTTAATTTTTTTCTCTTTCCTGTTAGTAAGTTATTTGTTTTAAAACTAGTTTAGGATTTTAAGCTAACGAATGGTTCAAATGTATTTTTTTATTGATAGACAGTTTATTGTCTGCAAATGAGTTTTTTTTAAGCCAAGATACATTATGAAATAAGATTTTTTTTTAAATGAGTTTAAATAGAATGTTTCATATTAGTCCTGTAAAAAGTGAAAATTGTGTCCTTTACCAATATATTAAGTTATTTGCAATATATTAAGTTTATATTGGTATAACTTAATATATGTTACCAATATATTAAGTTATACCAATATAATATTAAGTAATTCAATATAATATGTTATACCAATATTAAGTACCAATAATGTGTACTGTAGAATGTGAAAATTGTGTCAATAGCTGTTTAACAAACACTAAAATAAATTTCAATCGTTAAAGTATAGTAAAAGCAAAGACTCAGCAAGATTCATTACCATTAACAGAAAAGTAGTTAAGACTTAGAAGTTATGATGCATTATCCATATTAGCTTCTGATATGCAGTATTTTATTATAGTGTTGACAGCATATTTTTCTTTACTCATGTCTTCATCATTGGTCATGACTCCAGATAAGAAAGCTGTAACTTGTTCTGCATCAACAATATTTCGTAAATGCTGGCATAATAGATAAAAAATATTATTGCTGTTTCCACTTTCAATGGATTTGTATAAATCGGAGTGCAATTTTGTGAGATCTATTAACTCTTCTGCTGGTATATCACTTACAGTATCAACAAAAGCACTGAATTTATCAATGATCTTTAAAGCTGTGCCTTGAGATTCTAGAGTGGATATTGAGGTATTGTTACTCACATTATATTTCTCATTCGTAAATTTTCTAACGAGTAGATCAACCAGCAACAATATTCCATTGGTGTCAGCATTTTGGATCATCAAAGGATTAGAATAGGGAAAAGATTTGTTGCTTCCAATTTGTTTCATAGAATGAATCATATTTATCAAAACATTGTTGAGGTTTTGTTGATATGTGGGTCCCATAACAGTTGGATGTGGATATCCCTCTACATTTAGAGATTCAATCTTGCGTTTATCACGAACGCCTTTAAAAGAACAGGTTTTTCCCTTACTGTTTTCTCTCTTGATGCACCAAATTGCAAATCTGTTACCTGCGTTTATTACTCTATCAACTTTCTCCGAAGAATTTGAAGAATCCTTCCGGACAATTTGTAATAAGTCGTAATAGCCCAACTTTTTAAAAACTTCCAAAGGTGGCAAATCTTTAAATTTTCTATATTCAACCGAATCTTTATTTTTGTAATAATGATAAATGAGTCCGAAAATAAAATGAATGGAATATTTCATAATTGATTTTCCCTCCTTATGGTTAGTATCAGTGAGACTTGGATCTTTTTCTACAGCTGCCTTCATAGCTCTTAAATTAACATTTTTAATAGCATAATGAAACGGTAAAAAATTATTACCATCGTACAGCTTCATATTTGCACCTCTGTTTATTAAAAGTACCATTTGGTCAATTTTATCTGATTTTGTAGCCAAATGCAAAGGAGTAGATCCATCATCTGATACTGCATTTATATTAGCATTTTTGTCTAATAACGTTGTGGCGAAATCTGTCTCAGACCGCAGTGTTGCCAGATGAAGAGCTGTAAACTTCTCTTTTGTCAATGCTTCGAGATTGGAATCTTTCCTTAGCAGTTCATGAAATATTTTCAATTGCCCAGTTGCTATAGAAAAATGCAAAGGTGTGTAAGATTGCTTGGAGGTCATACTGACGTCTATCTTATCGTTCTTTAGAAGTTCAAGCGCGGCATCTACATGTTTAAAATAAATAGCAAAATGAAGAGGGGTCCATATATTATCTGACGTGACTGCGTTAATATTCACTTCCTCCAACTCTTTCTTACCTGAAAGAAGGTACTGTATCATGTCTACATTTCCTGCCATTGCTGCAAAGTGTAGAGGCGTCATGTTATCTTTGTTTCCAGCATTGACTTCTACTTTACCGCTGCTTAACAAAGCATCACAGATTTCTCGATCCCCTTTCATGACAGCCAAGTGAAAGGGCGTCAGACCGAAATTTGACTTAGCATTTATTAAAATTTTATCATCGGCAAGTAAAATCTTAATTGCTTTTACTATACCTCGTACAGCATAATGCAAAGGTGTGTAGCCTGATTTTTCTCGTTTATTTATTTCGATTTTATTGCTAGCAAGTAAATTCTTAATGGTTTTGAAAAATCCTCTTTTAGCTGCTATATGCAATGGCGTTACTTTGTCTCCTGCAGTTTGGACATTTACGTCTGCATTTTGATCGACTAAGAACTTTACAAAACCAGAATTTCTGGTACTCGCAGCAATGTGAATCGGGGTGAATCCTTTTTCGTCTCTAGCATTTAAGAGTTGTTCTTGTGTCCCGCTAGAAAAAAATCGCATCGCAATTTTAACATTTCCACTTTCAGCTGCAGCGTGCATGACATTTCTCTTCATTTCAAAAGTAGCATGCATGTTTGCACCCGCATCAAGTAAGGTAGGAATATATTCCAATGGTCTAGTTTGATCTTTACTTCTGGCTGCATTATAAAGATCTCGATCGATATCTCGAAATTCTACTTGACTTGATTTTGACAAAATTGCCACTAATTGAGGCTTTTCTTCATTAAATTTACGAAAAACAAGCCTCAATCTTCCTTTTTCATCTCTTGGGACTTGAAGAGTTGGATTTGCTTTCTGATAAACTTTTACTGGCTCAGTCCATTCACCAAATTTAGAGTAGGTTCCATTTACTGTCAACTGCACAGCATATCTTACTTTGGACTTATCATCCCAATCTCCATAGTTTGATGCAATATGAGGTTCATTAAAGTCGATGTCTAGTACTGGTTCTGGTATATCTTCTATGACATTTAAAACCATTTTTGTTATGTTAGTTTTGAGGTCTTTTAATCCATCTATTCTTTTGGAAATATCATCATATAATTCATTTTTAACATCTTTAATGAAGTCTTTGTTTTTTACTTCTTCCAACGTCTTAACGACTTCGTTAATTAATCCTTTGGCTCTAGTAAGCGATGCTTTGAATTCATTGAAAGTAGTAATCAAAACATCGAATGCTTCATTAAATTTCTTATCTCTTCCTGTTTGGTAGTAATAATCGGCAAGATAAGAATGTTGCTTAAGGAGGAAAAACATAACTGATGCATATGTTTGAGTTCCATAAAATAAAGCATATAATGCTTGAAACGCTTTTGTGTCTTCAGCATTTTCAGGAATAGCAAAATTATTATTCTTATCCATAAGTTCAAGCAAATCTGAGTGTAAACCTTCTGGTTTGCGGGCTTTTTGCAAGTAACTAAGAATCCCATCTTTTTCCTTCAATCTGAAAACGAACTGGTGTAAAGGAAGTTTACTTATTTCTTTTCTTTTCTCTTCGAAATACCTAACAAATTTGTTAATTTTACTAAGTATTGATTGAATTTCTCGACTTTTAAGTGTAGCTAGTACATTTTTAAATCCCCAATTCATTTCCGCTCTCGTTTTTTCTACGCTATTAAAAGTCTTTGTGACCACTTCTGTCACTTTTTCCATTGCCTCTGACATTTTATCGAGCTTCCTGTCGATTTCACTAAACCTTTTCTCCATTATGGCTTTAATCTCATCAAAATTCACATCATCGCATTCCATTGCTGTTGCGGCAATATTCATTCCGAATTCTGCTACATGAGCTGCCGCAGCTATGCCAGATGTTGCTATTTTTACGGTATCAGTAACGAGAGGAATTTCAGGAATATCACCAATTAGATTAGTTACGAGTCCAGTTGCATGACCAGCGTATTCTAAAGCCTTGCACGTCTTTTTTCTTTCTTCAATTTCCTCCATAGCTTCTTGGTATTCAGCATCGATGTCCGCGTTATCGTCGGCAGCACGTTTTGCAACTACATTAGTTATAAGAGTTAGATTAATATGCATGTTGTTGATTTGGTAAAAAAAATAGGCTTAACTGACTGCCTAAATCAAATTACTGTGATTTCGAACTAAGTGAATAGGTCCAAAACGTTTGATGTACATATAGTTCTTCGACATCTGGTAATATTCCGATTGAAAGACAGTTGTCCTACTACGTAAAAAAAAACACACTTCTTTGATAGATGTCAAAGCAGTAAAAAAAAATAAGCCCATTGTGTGTCTTTGCAGTGAAAAACCGAGTGACTTTATTTCATATTGACAGCCATGTGTTTTGCAATGAATTATGAACAAAATATCTAATGTGAAGGTCTGTAGATGCTCAGATTTTATAACTTTTTGATACTTTTGACAGGCATCAGATCTAGAAATTAACTTTAAAGCTGTCATATATTTGTATCTTGTAAGAAAAAAACATTTTTTTTCGAGAACAAAAAATGTATTTAGGTAATATTTCTAAAATTACTTACACTATGCAACAAATGAAGCAAAAGGAAATAATTAAATACTTCTTAAATTAGAAAAACAAAACATTATAAGAGTAAAAAGATATAAACTAATAAAAATATAATTTTTCTTCAAATTTTATATTCAGGAATATTAGCTCTTGATTTTGTATATAAATTAGCACACCAGAGATTTTATATATGGTTTCATTTTCGTGTCATTCTAAAAAAGATCCCATTTTTTAAATTTGAACTTTTAAATTCGATACGATATGTTGCGAATGTAAAAATTTATTGAAGAATATAAAATATTTGAAAATATTTTTATAAGTTGCGAGTTGAAAATATTTTTATTAGGCCAATAAGTTTAAAATATTTTTTTGAATATAATTTAGAAACTAACAAAAATCATGAGGAAACATAATTTTCTCCTATTATTACTAATATATTTAGTGTTTTGAGCGGCAATATTATTATTCAACGTATTTAAAATATTTGGAAGCAATTTGTGGGTATGAAACAAAATTTAATAAAACAATATTTGTATATTTACAGAGTTGAGCCTGAATTTATTGAAGTTTATGAGATATTTCAGCATAAAAAGTAAATTAATACTGAAAATATATATAATAAATTAGATAAGTTAAAATAATACAAAAAAAGTTTAAAAAATCTATATTAGAAATAAAACATAAATAGAAGAATGATTTTAAAATAATTAGCTAAAAATATCAACAACCGTTGTGCCACTGAATTATCACGGTGAGAGCATTCTTTTTTTTTTCCAGTTTAATACAGAGTAAAATATTACGCTGAGGAGCTACAAACCTACGGAGTTGAACATTAGCAGTTGTAAACCCAAAATTGGGTCGGCTTATAAAATGAAATAAAATGACGGTTATGAAATAAAATAAAATGAGATAAAATAAAATGAGCATCTTTGGAGCCGTGGTGGATCAGGGAATAAAGCGTTCGCTTTCTAATGAGATAAACCGGGTTCGAATCCTAGCAATGACTGGTCGATACGAATTCTGTAACAGGCTCGCACCGATCGCAGTGCAGACGTAGAGTTTCCTCAGTGGTAGACGGATCATGGGTTACAGTCCACTCTGCCAACACATAACCGTGGGAGGTGTTTTTTCTCTCTATGTAGCGCAAATGCGAGTTAGTTCCATCATCGTTTTCACACAGATATGATTTGATGAACCAATTTAGTGGTCAATATATTATTTACATGTAATTATTCTTTTTTATGATTTCAGTAACAAACAGATAATGAAAATGATCATCCTTTCAGACAACTTAAAATATTTATTGCTTATAGCAATTGGTAATGAATATATCTATTAATTTGCCATTCAGTTCATTGCTTTTTTTTTCAATGAGTACCTATTATTAAATTAATTCACCATTATTCGGTTAGTTTCATCAAAAGTCCTTCATGAAAGCAAATTTCTCCTAATACAGGAGTTCCCTTATCTTCTGGATTGGGTTCAAAATTACAAGGTTACGGAGTTAAACATTGGCAGTCGTAAACCCGAAATCGGGTTGGCTATTGAACGACTGTTATAAAATAAAATAACTATCTTTGAGCTGTGGTGGCTTAGAAGATAGAGCGTTCGCCTTCCAATGAGGTGAACCGTGGTCGAATCCCAGCGATGGCCGGTAGATATGAATTCCGCACCCGGCACGCACCGACCCCAGTGCTGACGCAAAATATCGTCAATGGTAAACGTATTATGGGATAGAGTCCTCTTGCCATCAGGCTAATCTTGGGAGGTTTTCGTGGTTTTTCCTCCTAATTTAACGCAAATGCTGGTTAGTTCAATCAATAAGTCCTCCACGAAGGTAAATTTCTCCCAATACTTAGTCCAGGAGTTCCCTTGTCTTCTGGATTGGTTTGCAGGAAACTTACAAGGTATTACGGTTTAACTTAAACCCACTCTTCTTAACAATACATACTACAATGGGTGTATCTCGAACGCATAGTTCCAATTGTCAACTTATTCAAATTGCAGGAAATTTACAAGGTATTATGGTTTAACGTACAACTGCTCTTTTTGACAATATATACTTCTATGGTGTATCTTGAATGGAAACACAGTTCTATTTGACACCTTATTAAAATTGCAAGAAATTTGCACGGTAACGTTGAACCACCCTTTTTAACATTACATACTACACATTTGCATCTTGAACGGAAGCATTGTACTATTAAACACCTTATTAAAATTGCAGGAAATTTACACGGTATTATGGTTCAAACCGCCTTTTTTAATATTATATATTATTATATATATACGTATATTAGAAAGAAAATTAAAGGGTATAGAATGTTATATCAGCAAAATTTAATAAATTTCAATAGTTAAGCTAAATTTACTTTTAGTTCTCGTAAGAGCATTGCTGAAAATAAACAGCCACAATGTATAGTCAAAATATAGGAGATGACTATTTTAGATGTTTTTTTTCTGATGTTTTTTTATAGAAAAATCCTAAACCAATAATTGTTTCAAATAAATAACTCTGTTAACTAATAATTAAACAAATAATATGCATAGCATAATAAAAACACGAATTATACTTCTCTTTACAGTATTCAATTAAAATATTTTACATGTATTTATCAACAATCTTAGTCAAACATCTTTAAAAATGAAATCTAATTCACAATCGCAAATTATGAATAAATTTTCATCAGATATAATAAAAGCAAAATGTGGATTAATTAAGACGAGTTCGAAGCAAATTCAAAAACATTGAAAACGTTGATAGTTCATACTCTTATAATAAAATGAGGATTTAGGAAAATTCTCATTTGTGTCTGCATTAGTCAACCTTATCACTGAATTTGCATTTCAGTGCAAATTCGGTTTTAGGAAAATTAAGTAGTATAAAATCATTGTAGAATTTCTCTCAAAGTAGAATTTAAAAAAAAAAAACGTGTTTTTAGTAAATAAAAAAAATATTTTTATACATCTCTTTAAATATCTTATTCCTACTCAGATTATGATCAACGGGTCAGCATCAATTTTGGACACAGCATGTGATAAAAATTTGATGACTAGATTTAAAAAAAAAACATTTTTAATAACTTGGTGAGCTTTTTTAGGTGTGCAAACTATAAAAAAGATATCTGAAATTTCTGATGCCTAAAAAGTACTGATTTTTAGGGAAGCCTTTTTACCCAATCTCAGAAATAAGTATGGGAACGAATATTATTACCACTCGTAAGCTGGTCTAACTTTACATACAGTGAGAAATGTCTAATGCTGGTACTAAGACAACTTGACTAATTTTCTAATAAAAGATGAGTAGCATGTATACTAGTCAAATTAAATGATGTAAAATTTATAAATTTGAATGAACTTCGGAATGATTTAAAGTTGTGTGTAACTTAAGTAATTTTATGGAAGCAATGCATGCTGCTTGCAATAGTTTTGAGAAAAGAAAAAAGCTTGCAGAAAAAATAATATATATATA